ATTTCAAATTCTTATACCTATAGCAAGGTCCTATGTCTATTGATTCTATAACTCGACTATAAGGACTTAGTTTTCGTGTCCATATAAAAATAAACTTGAACAAAATCAATTCTAAAAGCTTGTACAAAAATTTGGATGTAGAGCATAATAAAATCCATGATATGAATAAATGTTTAAATGCTTGCCTTGGAATTTTGTAATTATAAGAATAATATTATTTTTTATCAGTAGAGATGACAATAAGTCCTTTGATTTATTATCTAGTACTGTACAGTTGTGATATGGTTTAATGCATTTACGAAGGACCCACAACCACCTAACTGATAATGCATCTCTACTAATAAATTTGTTGAACTTATAGCTATAATCCACTTTTTATCTACACATTTGTGGAGCCAATTGTTTGAATGTTAATTTAAACACTTTCAAACAAACACTAACAACAATATTACAATCCATAAATTTTTATCTTTACTAGTAGAATTTTTATACTGAAAGTTCTTTATGATTATCAAATGTATTTTCCTATAGAATAATGCTTCTAGCACTAATGTTCAGTGACATTAAGTGAAATGCTCAATTAAATGTGAGAATGTGAAATTCAATTAATTATATCAATTATTCGAATTACTTAATGTTACCTAAATTGGTGTGGTAATAGCTTATGCTCTTTCTTTCTATTGTAGATAGATTTTGAGTCACGTTTAAACATTGAGGGAAATGGGATTCTTTAATTACAAACATACTAATAAATAGAAACATTTTCAAATTTTACATCTCAACTTATTTTAATTTAAAAATACTGTAATTGATGCAGTAAAATGAAAAACCAACCAATCACTTTAATCTTTAAAATTAATTAATTGAGAGGCTAATATCACTCCACAAAACAAGCGTTGTAACAAAATCAATAAAACCCAAAATCACAAAATCTTGACTTTCTCTAAATTCTCACACCTTTTTCTAAGCACGGTACTTAATTTATACTAAGCACTATGCTTAGATGACAAACAAACTACCCACTAATGTAGTGTGCCATTTAAGCACGGTACTTAGCATAAAGTAAGCACGAGGCATAGAAGATCAGAATTTGATCTCCTAAACATCATGCTTAACTTAAGCTACGCGCCATGTTTAGGTGGCAAACAAATTACCCACTAATGTAGTGTGTCACCTAAACACGGTGCTAAGAAGATCATTACTCTATGTGTGCGTGTGTGTATTCGGCACCCTCTTTGTAGTGTGAATAATGGCAGCCACCATTCCATGCACATCCGCCTCCTCCAAATTTAATAATATTCATCCCTCAAGTGAATAGAGGAAGACCCAACAAATTCTAGGATGTCAGCAGAGAAGATGAAATGGTCGTTGATGATTCTTCAGAACAATGGTATTCATTCATGTTTTATTGAGATAAATTTATGTAAGAAAATCTGAAACGATCTAATCATGCTAAACAATCATATATAGCAATTAGATCAACGTGAAATAGAAAGAGTTGGACCAAAACGTACCTC